TTCATTTGTTAGCTTATGTATTAATAGAAAGTAATAAATAATGTTAGATATTAATATTATATTTGTTACTATTCCTTAACACGTACAAACCCTAAACTAATTCACATATTAACGAACAGCAACACAGTAAGCCTCCACAAGAAACAGCTCAGGCACGCACCCGCCACCCCACACCGAGTAAAGCCCCGGCGACCATCAATTTTGTGCCCGGCATGCAATATAACATGCTTAGTTAAATGACTTTAAATATTAATGGGCTTATCAAAGCAGAGTCTCATGGACAATATTGGCGGCGCTGCAACAAGCGCCGCGACTGAAATTACTCAAATTTTCATACGATAATAGGACGTAGAGGCATGGATATAGTGTCAAGTGCATGGAACTTGCATGTAACTACATGTGTATTGCGTGTAACTACAAAGATGTCGCGTGACCTACACGTTTATCGCATTTATTGTTTATGCCCACCTATGACATATATATGAGAGATAATAAGTCAGTAGTTTGGGGTCCCATTTCAACAGATATTGAACTCTGCTCTTATAAGTCTGGAGTTCTAGGATCCTAGTTTAAACAGATGCTGAACAGTTCTGTAATAATTTAGCAGTAAAATGGTTCCATTCCAACATAAATTGAATTGTTCTCTAGTAATTCAGCAGTTTTGTGGTCCCATTTCAAGAGATGTTCAACTATTCTCTTAAAAGTTAGATGTTTTGTGGTCCTATTTTCAACAGATGTTGAACTGTTCTCTTATAAGTTAAATGTTTTGTGGTCCTATTTTCAACAGATGTTCAACAGTTCTCTAATAAATCAGCAGTTCTGTAGTTCTCATGTCCCAGTTGGGTCAGCCCAGTCGAGCCGGTCAATTACTGCTCTTTGGTTTCTATTAAGGAACGCTCTCGGGGCTTCGTTCGTGATCTGCTCAGATCCTTTCAGATCTTTGCCTCAACTGGACATTCTCGTGATGCTCGGCACTGCGACCGAAGCTGCCGACTCCATGAAACCTAATTTAATGATAAGTAAAGAGCTGATAACTTCGTACATTCACCACTTGCCTCATAATTGTAGGCAAGCAGTTTTAATTCGAATTTTGAGTCAAGTCTTCTGCGACTTGATTAATTTACACATGTATATTAATATTAACATGCACTTTCGAGAAAGTCTTCTTATTAGATTACTGCATATGCTCTACGTGGAGCCTTTGCTCCTTCTCAAGCTGCGATATTAAATGAGAAGTTATTAGCGAGAAACTGCAGATCTCGCTGAGTGACACTTAGAGAGCGGGATCACATCGGGTTCAATGCCTACTTAACTCGTCTTCAGCCACTCAACCAGGATCAATTTCCAACTGAAGCTATAATGCGGTGATGTCAAAATCACGACCCGTGAGCTTGCCTATCATGATGCTCAGGTTGTGGCGTCCAGAATGTGCCAGTAATTCACCCATTGTGGCTTCAATGAAGCTCGAGGGGCGGTTTTAATGATGTACAAGTCGAGGCTTGAACGATTAATGAGTGGAAGCTAAATTGTGATAAGGTTGTTGCAATGGGTTTGAATAAATAAACTGCCTTTTTTATTGACGGGTCTGTAAGGGCTTTAATGAAGTATCGTTATGAGAAACGTTTTATTTAATGCGATTATTGAACTACCTGTCAATATTCTTCACAATGAATATCCAAGTGCAAAAGCAATTATAATCGTTTGTCTGTGGTGGCAAACGAAATCGTACGTTAGCTCCCAAGTTAATAATTCTAGACCTCATTGGTTGCACCGAAAACGTATTTGCATACTATTTATTACACATTTACGCATTGTATTCACTTCCGTTGCAGCGGTTGATGTAAATGCCCTAACGTCTCTGGCCACTCTATCAAATGTTGTCGAATGTTGTCTAATCGAATTGTGGATGATTTAAATGTTTCACTTGCACAGTCAACTTACAATTTTTATTTTTCATTTTTTTTATTACAGAAAGTTGTAATTTTGAGAGTGGGTATATTTTAAAGATTTTTTAACAGATTATTGTTTGATGATTTTGCCTGAATTTATTTGAGAATGAGCCTGTTCAACATCGGAATAATGTTCAGATAACATCATTCAAGATTGGCAGCTGATGATTCATTCATTGAAAGGCGTGACTAATCATATTAGGGCTTTCTTCAACTTCTATTTGATTTAATCTTGGATGTAGATGCTATATCTAAAAAAATCTTATTGATATTTTGGAAGTTATTGTTGAGGCAATATATAGTTGTCGTATAAATAATTGCATGCATTTCAGAATTTGTGGTATTTAAATGCGAGTTACAGTTATTGCGGGCTATAAGTACTTGGGTCGGCCCAATTTCTAACACCTCCCTTCTCTATATCTCTTGCAGCTATCGACGTCTCTTGTAAGCGACTAATTTTACATTTTTCTCTCGTTTATTTTTCGTTTCTGTTGTTTGTAAATTGTCGCTTCTTAATTCTCCGTCTCTCATCGGTGCTAACGCCGCTCTTTCACGCTATCTTCAGTGTGCTGCAAATATTTGATCGTCCACACTTTGTGAGCGATGAATTATTCTGAATTTTAAAAGTGATAGAAAGAGCTTACATCAACTTGGTGACGTTAGTATTGTTACGTTCAGTGCTTGATCTCTGATGACTTCATATAGGGATATGGTAGCAAGTCACTACGCCATTTTATCACTTTAGAATACATTCAACATTATGACGCTTTAATGTATTTTGCGAAATACATTCTTCGTATGAAGCTCGGTAAAAAATCTATTATTTTTAATTAAATCTTGTCTAATTTATTTCGCCCTCAATTGCCATATAATGAATTTAAAATAGTATTTTTCGATTTTTTACTTATGGAACGAATTTACTGGGTCCCTCTAGCAATACGAGATGGAAATTGACAAAATCATCATCCTGTGAATCAATAATTTTCGTTGATTTAAAAAGACAGTTTAGATCTGCCCTCATGTTGCGATCGCATCGCACATCTCATGTCTCACTCTCGTTTTGAAATTTTAGCTACGTTCTTAATAAATACATAGTGAAGAATGAGCGTTAATTGATGCAGTCTTTTATGTTGATGATACAGTATAACTCGTCGTTATATTCATATAATATTTCTTAAATATCTATTTGATCCGGGCCTCTCGGCGCTAAGATTTCTCGTCAAAATTTTGCACTCTCATTCATTCACTACGTTAAAAGTATGTTTCAAGGCACCTTGTTTCCATGAAATTATATTTTATTCGTGTTGAAGCCTAATTATACTCGGCATGAATTAGACTTTTATTTAAAATGATCAGTTCAATTTAAAAAAGTTTTACCTTCATGGAAATTCTGAAAGCTTTCAACAATTAAAATTAATATTTTTATTGACGCTCATATCGAGATTTTTGTGCCGCTTATTTTTAATTTTTTGCGCCCAAATACTCAATTAACACACTGATAATAACCAGATTTAACTAGAGGTTGTTATATATGGGTATTTTCTATATATGGGTGTTTATATGGTGTGTTAGGCATTATGTGGTAACGTAAGCTTATGTCTAATTATTTGCATTATTTATCGACAAAATATTAAACTTGATAAAGAATTAATTCTTCTTCTATCACTATTCTATTAAATCAAAACAATTATTATCTCATTATTTCAGCACCATACCATGTAGACGAGAAAAGAACCTGTTTGTTGGCAAGATATATTCATAATGATACATGTACACATATTCATAAAATAGACATATACTAATTTATTCTTCTATAGTACAGATGCGGAACAGTACGATAGCATCCAGAGAGCAATGAATTGTACCAGAGTCTCGCCCAGCCATTTGATCTCCTCATACATCACTCGGTTTATCCTGAGTTCTGGTATCCTTTTAATACCGCGACATTGTTCCCTTTCCTGTCCCGCTCTTGTCCCTCTGGTTACCGAATTTTCCGCTTGAATTCCTAAATCCTTTTTTACAACGCATTTATTTTCCTTGGGGACATGCATGTTTTTTACGGAGATCCGGTGCACTATTTTACAATGGATGGTTATTAATATTTTAGGCAGCGCTCTTAAATGCATTACCATATTTAAATCCGGATGCGGGAGCATTTTTATGGATAGCCTTAGTTTTATTTCGAGCGGAACTATACGCATATTCCCGTAAATGGACTCGCCTCGATTTTCGAGGCTTTGCGGGCACCGAGCTCAAGTGCCAGGAAGGAATGATATTGTGGCCTGAATATGATCGAAATTTGTACTGCAAATCAATCGTTTTAACGGCGAGCGTGAAGAGGCAAGTGGTTTCTTACATACTACGATAATTTCCCTCTGTACAACTATAAATAATGAAGATTAAACTTAGATTATGTATTTCTTGTTATAAATGATTTTGATTTGAAAAATCAATAAATGAATCTATATTCATCTAGCTGCCTTTAATTCACCTCGTATTTTAATTGTTCTTCTTATGATAATGAATCCTATATGGTTTTATTTTCGATATTATATCTAAACGTGAGAGGCTAATTTTTATATAGATTTCAGAGTATGCAGTCATTTTTAACGCCGAACTGAATTATTTTCATATTATTTACTTTAATCAAAAGCATGATATTTTCTGCTGCTATAGCATGTGCAATACGCGTTTACTTTTCTAAAACTGTTCTGGAAAAATTTCACGTTTTGTAACTCAAATTTACGATCAACACCCACTTAACTTTTCCTATCTATTGTTAACAGTTACGGCTGCTTAGATAATATCGCTTAGCTCACTACTTTTTATTACCATATCTTCTTATCTAAAAGCACATTACTTTCAACAAAATCTACAACGCTTAGGCAGTTGCGATTGATTGTGATATTTCAATCTCATGAACGAATTTTCGCTGCTTCATGACATATTTTTTTCGCGACAGTCTGATCTGTGACTCATTCAGTAGTGATTATGATATTTCAATCTCGTGAACGACTTTCCGCTGTTTCATGACATTTTTTTTCACAACAGAGTCTGTTCAGCTCACCCAACACTCCCATCTTAGAGAACCCTGAGTACCAGACTCGATGGTACTTCAAGTACTTCCTCGGCAAACGTGAGTACTCTTCACTTAACTACATGACTAATTGTTGTGTACTTATAACGACAGTTTATGGAAAATGCATAGAGTTGAGAATTTTAACACCTCATGTTTTCAAGCTACATCTGCTGCGTCTTTGCCTTTCCTAGCGTTTTTAGTTATCAATCTTAAAAAAGAGACAAGCCAATTTTTTTAACTAACCCTCGTCATATATTCTCTCATATATATTCTCTTCTCTAAAACTGCAATGCGATAACTTGTTTTTTAAGACAAGATTGAATATTGTGTGTATTTATTTCACTAGTTAAAATGAATATTAATAGGCTAATATCGTCGAACATTAGGATTCATCACCGAAGAAACTCATTTTTAATTATTTTGGAAAACAAATGCCATTAGTCATTAACCCTTTTAAAATATTTAAACTTATATTTTCGCAATCATTTTCTATTAATACTTACGTAAAATTTCTGGAAAAAGGAAATGCATACCTGAATAATTAGATAACATTTAAATACTAACAAGGTCTAGCTGAAGCGATGAGGTACATTATTGAGCGCATTACGCATACAGAGTAGCCATGCACTGAAATATCATAACTCGCGCAATTGATTGTAATCATTACACGTAATCGTTACTTTCACAATTGAGTACATACACGTAACGGTTTAAGTAACGTGGTGGCTGATTTCTCACGCCTGTGATTTCTGAGTTTACTTCGGAAAATCGTCATTGATTGTCTGACGTAGTTAGGAGCACGTAACTCTTTTTTATATTACAACCCCAGGCTTTTTGTGCAACATTTAGATTTGATTCATCCATACCTTTTTGTGGAGCTCGACTAGATGCCGGAGGCAATGAGCTGCCGAAACCAGACTGCCCCTATAAAGCTCTCGCTCTCCCTAACTTCATAACCGGACGGTTGAGTTGCTCGACTTAGCCTCCTAAGTCTCATTAAGTTTGCATGAGTAAGCCGTCTTAAGACACTTGGCCTCTTGTCCCCGAGTGAATGTTGGCAGTAAAAATGTAGGACTTTCCTACAGCGGGCATAATTTCCTCCGGTATTGAGCTGAAGTTTGCCATAAGTCTCTCCTCAATTTTACAGAACGCTGACTTGATTTATGCTCGCTGCTGCAATGCAAGCCAGCCAGGTTTTAATTGCTTCCATGCCTTGGGTACTTGTAGTGAAATCACGTCTTTTATAAGCTCAAAATAAATGCCGACTAATTCCTATATCGTCGCGGATGAAAATTACTGTTCAGAAGAAACAAAAAATTCGTACAAAAAATGTTCGCCGAAAATGTGTCGTACAATACGCAGAAGATCGAGTATCGTGTTTCTCGTAATATTCACGTTCCTGTTGAAAATTCAGCTACAAGGGAAGTGGGGAACGTGGCGCGCATATCTGAAACTGTCTCAAGCGATAGTAAAATTTTAGTGGCCTCTAAAATTATATAAGCTTTCTCAATGGAGGATTGTGCGGATGCCTGTGGCTTAAAATGTTTTCGCTTGATCGTAAAAGCGACGCTGGCGAGAGATGTCCGGACGGCAAGAGCGCGTCTCGCGCCTCACAAACTCGCCGTAAATGCGACGCCGCTCTTCAACGTTCGCGTGCATCGCTGCGCCTGCCGTCATGGTCTCACTATCAGTCAACCCGTTTTAATTTATTTATAAAAATTTATTAATTTGGGTTTAATATATTTGTGAAGAATAGTCCTGAGTTTAGCTTCACCAGTCAAGCCTAAGATGACCTTATGTAATCGTCGTAATTCAGTCGTGAGTAGTGATAGCACAGACTGATAGCAGAAATTATTTCTTTCAATTAAATTTGTAAATAATTGATTGGTACGCTTTGTTTATCATCCAGTCAAATAACCATAATTTCAGTACCACTGCTCTCAACTTTTTATTTTTAGTATGACTGACAGGCCAGCATTCCGTTGGGAAATTGTATATTAAGCAACCATATAAATGATATAATATCCGCTAACTTATTCTATTTCATGTACTTAACGTGAATTTAAGCTCTACAATATTCCAGCAAATAATTTCAATGAAGCTTATCATGAAAATTATCAGCCACGCCGTAAATTTGGTTCTGTTACTTCACATTAACTATTACATTTACTGGTATTTATTCATCCTCTCTCTAGTTGATAGGAATATTGGCCTAGCAATCCATATCTCGTCATGTATCACATGGTCAATAAGGAAGTTCCCTGGACGCTCAACTTGCGATGTTCGACAACTTCGTGTCATGCATCACTTGGCGCACCGATGAAACTCTTGCCAATATCTTGGCTGGTACGCCGACCGATATGGAGGCAAATGCGTTTATTCTGAAATAGTAAACGTTTGGTACGTAGGCCGAGACTAACGTACATTGTCTACGACTGGTACATCGGCCGAGACTTAACGCACATTGTCTACGACTGGTATATCGGCCGAGACTTAACGTACATAGTCTACGACTGGTACACAGGCCGAGACTTAACGCACATTGAGTCTACGACTGGTACACAGGCCGACACTTAACGTACATAGTCTACGACTGGTACACAGGCCGAGACTTAACGCACATAGTCTACGACTGGTACACAGGCCGAGACTTAACGTACATAGTCTACGACTGGTTCACAGGCCGAGACTTAACGCACATTGTCTACGACTGGTACATCGGCCGAGACTTGACGCACATTGAATACGACTGGTACATCGGCCGAGACTTAACGCACATTGTCTACGACTGGTACACTGGCCGAGACTAACGTACATTGTCTACGACTGGTACATCGGCCGACACTTAACGCACATAGTCTACGACTGGTACATCGGCCGAGACTTAACGCACATAGTCTACGACTGGTACACAGGCCGAGACTTAACGCACATTGTCTACGACTGGTACATCGGCCGAGACTTAACGCACATTGTCTACGACTGGTACATCGGCCGAGACTTTACGTATTAAGTCTACGACTGGTTCACAGCCAGCAGCGACTTAACGTATTTAGTCTACGACTGGTACACAGCCGGCAGCGACTTGACGTATATAGTCTACGTCCGGTGTATCGGCCGAGACTTAACGTACATAGTCTAAAACTGGTACATCGGCCAAGACTTGACGTATATAGTCTAAAACTGATACACAGGCCGAGACTTAGCGTGCAGAGTGTACGGCCGCTTGTTAACGTAATGCATTAATAGATATATCATGCATTGGTACATAACCATTTGGCTGCCTACTTCAACCAGCATACATTCTATTATTTCTAGAAGGGCTATTGTGCGAAAATAATTATTGGGAATTGTTCAAATCTTCCATTCTTGTAATTTCATTTGAATTACGTGTTCTCTAATTTGAAGCGACGTTTGCTGATACCATTTGAGCTTTCTGTCGTTCCATTCCGTTGCTCGATATTCTTTTCCTCGGATCGTTGTAATTCAACAAGGTTTCGTTCCCACTGGGGGATGTGCATTTGTGCGAGTCCCTTTACACCGCGGCGCCGAGGGCGAACTAATCGTTCCCAGCTGCAGTTTTTTCAGCTGCTCTTCCTTTGGCAAGTATCAAAAGTGAATCATTTTTACATCCAGGGAATTGTTGCATAGCGAACATGCATACAAATGAATTCATTTGACGTGACCCTTTGTGCTGCTCGAATAGTCGACGTCACTTACAACTTTCAATTGGCAATCTTGATTGAATTGCGAATGTGAATAACGATAAAGATACATGTTCCTGTCGTTTCAACGAAGACTTCAAACATTTGTTCGTTTTCTTAGCATCCCTCCTTCGCGTAGAAATTTTAGCGTTTACTGTCTAAACAAGTAAGGAATTGTGTGCAAAACTCCTCACATTGCTTGTAGACAATTTCCATTATTTTTTATTAATAATATCCTACATGTATTAAATTTTAGTCAAATTTTATGAGGTTATTTGCGCTTAGCTGTCGGATATCAAAAAAATTGATGTGGCTCAGAGCGTTACTAGTGCCTGAGATAGTTAAATAATGGGGGCCTTTTCCGTAGATTCTATTTCACTCCCGAATTTGACAACTAATTTATAGTCAATCTCTTCATATCTGTTTCCTTCCAGAAGATACTCATTTTTTCAACCCTACAAACAAGTATCTTTGTTATGCACGAGATATCAGCTACCTGAGTGTAGTTCTCAAGAAAATAACACAATTATTAACGCTACATTGCTTCAATTGAAATTCTTTTGAAGTTTACGTGAATTTCAGACATCGCTCCACACCCATTTCGATGGCCTGTATCATAATTTGCGAAACATCCTCTTGAATCCATGCTAGGCATTATCAACTCCGGTTTCTCTTCAGGTAATTTTTAATTACATGCTCCATTAGCAGTCTCCAGAAATAACCAACTTTGTTACTCAACGCTCGCACAATTTAATTTCTTTGATTGCCTTCATTTCCGGAGCTTTATTTTGTTTTTCCCTCTCGTGAATTGCCACAAGAGCGATGATTTCCCCAGAGTGTAGATCCTGTGCAGATCATAGGAAATATTTGCCCTGTTGCCGTGCAGGCTGCCTACGCCGAAGCCGCTGCCACTACCGTCTTATATTGAGCGGGCGTTTGGCATGTAGCAGTTCTACGCGCGCCTTTGTTATCAATTTCGGTACAATGCGTGAACGCTTCTTGATAATATGACAGCGCTTTGCTTACTTGTCTTTTAATTAGAGTTAATACTGCCGTAATTGCCATCCTCGACCAAATTCTTTTCCTAAGAAAGATTTCTTGTATTATGATTGGAGCTAAACTGACATTATTGCCATCCTCGACCTGATTCTTTTCCTAATATAAATTTTAATTTTAAATTGAGGTAAACTAAGTTATTTTTAACCTTCGTTCATTCATAATATAGAAACACTGAAATCGTACCTATTGAAGGTACATCTGTATCTGTGCGTTAAATAGATTTTAGAAAAAACGTTAAACTTATTTGAAAAAAAAAGTTAAAATTCATTGTTATTGCGTACAAATAAATCGCTCAAACCGAAAGAAAGATTTTTTTCAATTCAGAATCTGTAAAGTAGTGCATTTCACTTGTAAAATTGATGAATAGAACAAATTCACTACGTAAACGCTTCTAACCCTAGACAATCCTTTTGTTTTTCATCTTGATTGAATCTGAAACAACAGTTTTTCGATGCTGCAAAAGTTCCTGCCTGTACATGTAGAAGTTTCTACAGGCCTTGCTAGAAATTTTTTTCATATTTTACAACACTTCTCTTTAACTTCACTTCTTGTTGTTGTTTGTTCGTCTGCTTCAAATCTTATAATCAATATTTAACACCATTTTACCTGTCAAATCGATCTGAAATTTTGCACACTTGCTTAAAGTTGGACACGATGCTTGAATCGATTGACAGAATAAATAATGTACAAAATCGTAAAAAAATATCTTTATATGTTGAAAACATTTGAAAAATATTTTTTCAAAATTAAATTAGAAATTCATTGTACACGCGTAACATTGGAGACACTGGCCTCTTTAGAAGTGTTGTCTTTTAAAAGTAATTTTTAAACGCATATCATTATTTTCTTTTTTTGTTCCTTCCGTTTTGTTCCTGCTTGAACGTTTAATATTTCATAGCGCAACGCAGCATTCAAAGCTATGGCAATGACGCTGCATTTCCTTTTAAGCGTGAACCGTTCAATGCTAAACAGGCCTTGGCAATATATTACTGCGGCTTGCGTTCTGCCTCCTGGGAATCTCAGAAACAATGGTAGGCATTATTTCTCGCACGCTGCCGTGACTCCTGGCATATTAGCCTAATCTGTTAACCAGCATGTGCACTTTGGCTCTTGGATGGTACCATGAAACTCGCTCAAGTTACTGTATGCCAGTGTTGTTTACGTAACTTATAATTTCTAACGATCTTGGAAAATATAAAAAATATAACTCAGTACTCACTGCAGTTAGTGACAGAGAGCGCATTTTCTCGTCGACGAAAACGTGAAGTCACGGACGGACAGACAGACGAACATGGCGAGCACAATAGTGCATTTTTTTCATAAATAAGAAAATGCGCTAAAAATGTTAGTATTTGTATATTATATCTATGTATTTATATCCGGCCTAATGCTGTTGCATTACTTCACTTTTGCACTGCCTAATTTCGTATTCGATTTTAAAATAATTCGTATACTGGCGTTGCTTCAGCCTTATTGGGATGAAATACGGTTTCATTTCATTTAACTTTAGACAGTTCGAAATCAATAAATGTAGAAATATCATAAGCTATAAATTAAATAACGTATGAATAATCTACTCCTGGCTATCCTCGGCCCTCTGCCTCCCCCACTCCAGACGCTGGAATCTTTGCTCGGCACTTCGACACCGGAAAAAAATCTGATCGACTCGCAGGTTTCTGTGCATCTGTTCAATTTTCTGCAATTTCTTCCAATTTAAGTTATTTTGGCGACCTTATTGGTAGGAGGCATGACGGCAGACCTCCCGTTGGCTTCCCTAGACGCTGAAAACATGCCGGAGTTTGTCAGGGAATGTGCGATGGCACTGAAATGAAACCTGTGTGAACTGCTCCCTTGATATTTTAGTTCCTTGTCCGATCATTCAAACTATAATTTCTGGCAATTTTTAATTATCATTCGAATCGTTTAACATTGCGACCAATGGTTTTTTTATCTGGACTATAAATTCATGAACCTAAAAAACCAATAAATACATTTGTGTAGATACAGGCCGAAATTAAATCCGTATTGGTTTTTTTTAACTAATTTCCGATTCAATTAAATATACTAATACTAACACTAATTTTTTTTATTACGTTGCAGTTCACCAGAACTACGTAGGCTGCCTAGGCGAGAAGGTGCCTCTGTTCCTGTCTGTGGTGCTGACCGATGCCAACAACCAATGTGTTCCTCAGTACAGGGCCATCCTGTGGCGGAAGACGGTGAGTTTTACCTATTTTAATTTTCTACGATCATTTATGACGGTGAGATAACCCATCCTAAATTTCGATGATCATTTATTATTCTTTCATGTTCAAACTTTATGATATTCAATCGTTGATTCTGGGGTTGTAAAGCGTAATGCATAATCTGATTTTTCTGCGTACTTGGGTTCAGCTTTTATTCTTTTGTTCTCAATTGTAAAAAATAAGACGGTGAGTTAAACCATTCTTATTTTATATGATCATTTATAATTCTCTCACGTTCAAACTTTATGATATTCAAGCATTGCTTCTAAGATTGTAAAACGTACGCTTAATTTTTTTTCTTACTTATGTTCAGCTTTTATTCTTTTGTTCTTTCTACAATCATTTATTATTCTTTCACGTTCAAACTTTCTAATATTCAACCATTGCTTCTGGGATTGTAAAGCGTATGCACAATCTGTCTTTTTTGCGTACGTGTGTTCATCTTTCATTCTTTTGTTCTCAAGATTAAATAATATCTACGTGTATATAGCATCTACCTATGTAGGAAACTTTTGGAACTTCACTTCTCATCAGCGTGCAAAGCTTATTCTTCATTTTACCGGTTAAAAACCAGTCGAGTTCATTATTTTCGTATTTAAATTTCTTTTTAATAACTCTGGTGCTAGGTCACGTCTGACCACACCCACACCTTATTTCTCGCAACTGTTCCAATAATCTCTCTGGCTTCTCGGAAATATCATAGTCTCCCTTAATCATGAATGCACCGAGAATTGAAAAACAAACAAAACGTACTTTAAATTCACCGTACTTTCAGCAAAAATACTAGGTTATAATTAGATCAGAATTTATTGCTTCAAGTTGTTTAGTTAAATTGAATTCAGTTTCTTAACCATACTGACAGCAAAGGATACGTAAATCGATCTACCTCTTACGTCTTCCTGTACTCTGGTTCAACGCTAAGTCACATAATCTTACAGTCAATCCTCCTGTTGCGTCGAGTCTTGCCCCCAAGTTCCCGAAGTTCGCATGAACTTCACTCGCGTTTTTGACGCTCAAGTTGCAGTGTAAAGCTGGCCAGCTTGTGATGTTGTGCTTATGAATGCAACGTTTCGTGTCTAATGAACAACGATTAAAGACAACTTCCACCGTATCTTTTTGTACAAACATTCATCGCTCTTATGACGTTATTCACGCTCGAGATCAATTATTCCTTAAGTTAAGTCGACCCATAGGCTTCCCTCATTCTAAATGCTACAAAATTATACTATAATTATCTTGTACAATTTATTTCATTTCGTTTATCAATTGTTTTGATTTTTGTTTCATTGATTTAGGACCAAAAATTAAAGGATATTAAATAGATGTTGATGAGAAACCAGGACATTTTTCTAAATTTCTTTGTCTGAAGAGTCTGATTCTGTAGATTTGCGCACTGAAATGCTTCTTAAAATCATAGACTGGGTCGTTACTATAAACTTACGTATTACTGATTTATTAATTAAAACCAATAAAATATTCTATTTTCATTTAATGCTCTTAATTTGTTGCATTCTATCTTCATCATAGCTTTTTTGCCATTCAAGTACACTGTGTATGCTACAAGTTTAACGTACATAGTTAAACGCTAATAAATTTTCGATTTCTACCCCACTCGAGTTGATGTGCGTTTGCTGTTTACCTGTACATTAAATTTTAATCAAGGAAACCGATTTGCTTTTTATAGCAAATTTTATTGCACAGTCCAAATGACACGGCACTCAGTTTGTTTCATATTCAGTGAGCTTTCTCAGGTTCTTTCTCATCTTACTTGGCTGCCAATGTATTCTCTTTCATGTGTAGTTGCAGCGGCTTCTAGCATTCGATTCAAACTTCGACTCCCATCCTCTCCTCTCTATGATCTCCCCACTTGATTTTGGCGATTCAGTTCCCCCAAAGATTCAGGGTCCGGTTGCGGTAGCAAACCTGGGAATGTATATTGGATACCTCGTCTCTGAATGCCCGAGTGCTCGCCGCTCTTCCACAGGAATGACTTTGTGTTGTTTGTGATGGATTCTCGCCGGCGAGGTTGCATGTTCTCGCAACTATCACTTGTTCGGAACTGGAGGGAACTTGTGACTTATTTCAATACCGAGCTATATATTTCGCCTCAGCTACGACACCGCGAAAGTCGCCAGTGTCGCGGTCGATGACATTTTGTTTTATTTGCCAAAAATGATCAGTAATTGCCTGAACGGAAGACCGGAGCTCGGCGATCAAACTGACATGAAATATTATTGCATAGGTACATAAAATGTTCTTTTTCTTATGGCAGTAATTAATTCATAATTGCTTATTACAAACGAACTGATTATCGTCTGCCCTCGTTCAAGGCAGTTTACACTGCAACGCCATTACTAGAGCAGAACTGCACTGGTAATCACTGCGCAGTCTTGTGCTCTTATCTCATCACTGCACTGGTAATCACTGCGCAGTCTTTGCACAAATTAAAACTCTCGATGGCTCCATTAATCTGACGAGTTCAGCAAAACGACTTTAAAACGACGTGCGCGGTGCCTTCTCATTACAGTGTTGTTGTTGTCTTGCTAGTTCATGTAGGGATTCCTGTATTATTTTATTTAACAGCGTTGTCGGGGACACCTGGGAAGTGCTAGAGCTCAAAGTTAATTAAATTTGAGGGCTCTGCGTGTTTATATGATACCAGATTTTATCTACTCATTTTTGATGCACTCAACCCCCAAGTTTCTGTTTTTGACGTAAATTTTACAGTATATGCATTTATTCCAGCTTGATTTAATATGTTTTTTTTTCGGTCAAAGAATAATTTCCTTGTGCTGCTCATTAGTATAATCCAAGGTTTCATAACCAGTCCTTTAACTATAATTTTACCATTAAATAACATGTATGATTTAATTAAAGTGTGTTGGCGCAACTATTTAATAAATTAGGAACAAAACCGTCGGTTTCCTCAAACATTTAATGAACAACTACACTTATAAACAATTACGACAATACAAATAAACACAAGAATATAACTGTGTGTTCTCTTTGCTCTTGTTGTTACTTTGGACTTAAAGTTCGGAGCCTTTCTCCGTGGTGGGATTCCTATGCAATTAAGAAAAACAAAGCGCGTCTGAAAGAGGTCACATCAAAGGTGAATCGAAACCTTAAACGATAAATTATACAAGTCTTATTGCAATCCCTAACAAAATTATTGGTTGTTGATCGCGTAGCAGTATTGAATTTTCATCTTGGTATATTTGACGTCTTTTTTAATGGTGAGGATCGCGTGATAAAAAACCAGGACCACTAATTCTTGGGGAACCATGAAAAGACTAGTTTTTGCGTATCCCAAAGAGATTCGCATTAAAGAAGTCTATTAATACGTAAGAAATAATTAATAAGAGGAAGTCAATCAATGTTTGACTCCATAATTAAGCTTTCGATTCTATAAATTAAAATTAGTATGTATATTAATCAGCGTTGAAACCTTTTGCCACAATATCAAGTAATTTAGAGCAACGGCTTCATAGATCTCGGATTCCATAGACTTGATACTTGATTGGTTAATATCAACGCAGCAACCTCATCCTTTCTTTATTTGTTATTTTCATCATTCACAAAAGAGACTGGATCAGGATAACTTGTTTGAGCTCATCTGCAGCTTGTTAAAAAATTATCTCAATTTTTTTTTACCCACTTTCAAATTTCTGGGTCTTTACAGCCTAGCCTCATGTATCTCGTGAGTTACGGTTAAATCAGTACAGCTTCAAATCAATGAACAATCAGTACAGCTTCATGCAAGTCATAAACATGTGTTCATTTTTTGACTAACCATTAATTTTGCTGTTCTTTGGATTATCTTGAATTCATTACTTCTCTAATTTATTCGCTGATGCTCAGCCAAAATCGATTTTTCATATTTTGTAATTGCAGGATCGTCTGACAAGCCATATTTTAATAAATCTTTCTTAATACCATAACATGGTAAATCTTTTATAATGAGGCTTATTAACTGTACCATCGATGTCTAAAACTTCGAATTTGATTTAACATCAATCCAATTCTTTCGAACACTTTTGGCCTTATTTCCAGTGCACTTAGATGAATATATGAACGCTACCTGTCTAACTACTCTAACTACCTATTAGAACTACCGCTACCTGTTCTGTATTGGGATAAGTTGTATTTCAAGGCCAAGCCCATTAATAATTTAAATGTTTTAGGTCAGCGACGCTGCTGCTAAATTCTTGAGTGCGAACTGACGACTGACTTCTTCCTAATTTTTGTACCCGCGAGTCGACAACAGCCTGCTTGCTCTCCTTTGTTCGCGGTCCTACATCACATTCTCTTACGTCCTTATATTGTATGCCTACACAAGTTATCGATTTTTCTGTGCTTGGATTGTTGGGCAACATCAACAATTTATCCCTCGTGACGTCACACAAGCCGATACCATCCATCCCTCCTGTTTTCAGCTGGCCCCATATACGGCAACAGAAAACCAACAACACCTCCTGTTTTCAGCTGGCCCCATACGGCAACAGAAAACCAACAACATCTCCTGTTTTCAGCTGGCCCCATACGGCAACAGAATACCAACAACATCTCCTGTTTTCAGCTGGCCCCATACGGCAACAGAATACCAACAACATCTCCTGTTTTCAGCTGGCCCCATACAGCAACAGAATACCAACAACATCTCCCGTTTTCAGCTGGCCCCATACAGCAACAGAATACCAACATCTCACGTTTTCAGCTGGCCCCGTGCAGCAGCAGTATGCCAACCATCCCTTCCGTTTTCAGATGGTCCCGCAGAGCAACAGAACGCCATCGTATTCTCATACTTCTTTGCAGCGCTCGCATTTTTGCGAGACGAAGTTAGGCTCGCTTTGTGTGTGTGCCGCTGAGTTCCCAGTAGCTCTTTTGAGCGCGGCTCTCAAAAGAAATATTCTTCAAACGCGTTCTGGGATAACTCGAATTGAACTATGTAATCGGATGATCTTGGGCTTTTT